CTGCAGTCTTTGCAGTCTTTGGAATAACGAGCCTGTCAATCAATCAACCACCATTGCTGCAGGCCCCGCCCATCTCCACAGGCTCTGCCCACCCCATGCTGCAGCCAAGCCATATTATCCGTATGGATGTTGTCTTGCTGAAATACATCCACAAACATTTCACCTTTTCTTTACATTTCATGTCCACGATGAAGGATGTTGCTTGCCATTCTGTTCAAATTGGTACGTTTATTAAACCTCCCCGGTTATTGAATACTTCAGCAATTTTATAGTACATTAGACTTCAGTGTCACGTACTGGCAACCTTTCCAAGTCTGTTCATTAACACTAACACAGATAATAGCATCACGTTAGCCAAAATCTGCCATGGCATGGAAGCATTGGTCCTGTAAATGCAAAATGCATGGGCTGCACTACTATATATAAAACTTGATTTTATCAAACAAATCCTCCCCAAACATGTCCAGCTCATTTAATGAAACATTCAAATCAAATGTTAAATATATCAAGTCAAAATCTGTGAAGATTGTTTTGTATTGTGTACATATATACCTACATTATATATGCATCTATTTTAAATGTAAATGTTATGAACTAACCAGTCATTCCAGGCATCTAAAACACACTCTGTTTCTGCTTATTGTAATTGCATTAAAGTCTGTTGGTTTTATGGAGAACTTGAGCCAGCGATTAGCGAGCGCTTTAGAGAACAAGGCTGAGTGGAAGAATGGAGCTCAGGGGGAAAATGACAAAAGATGGTCTACTTTTAATTTCCCCTTTTGTGGCGCCGGTTCCCTCGCGCCAAGAGCTCTATGGCAGCTGCTCAGCCTTGAAACGTTCCATTGCAGTTCGATTCATGAGTTACTATGAGAATCTGTCTTTATTTTGTGTGTATGTTTTATGTTCTTTCTTTTCGTCTCTTCTGCCCTAGTCCAAAGTATTCTAGATCTGCCTATTTGTCCCTGTGAGATTGTAAAAGTTGATGGAAGTCGTGTTACTCTCACGTGTGTGTTGCTGTCAGTGTATATATCCATACAGGTGAAATAAAGAAAATTAAAACTGTATTTCATATAATGATATTGCGTTGAGCAATTGAGAACAATGGAGTGTTCTGAGAATCGTTTAGGGACAAACCCAGCAATTGGGTTGTTTTGACCCAGCGGTTGGGTTAAATGTTTAACCCAACCTTCTGGGTAGTAACACAACCGCTGGGTCAAAACAGCCCAATTGCTGGGTTTGTCCCTATTTTACCCAGCACTGGGTTGTATTTAACCCAGCATTTTTTAGAGTGCAGGACTATGCAACACTCTCAAAGCAATTAGTAACTGTGTTACGTTTTGGTGGCTAATTTGTATGAAATCTTATATATTTTGATATAATCTGCTCAAGGCCTAATGCCAGTTAGTTTTAGGGGTGGACCTTCATGCTTGCTTGCTTTCATTCAGAAATCATGTTTCCATACAAATCACATCGTATGAACTCATACGAAATCGCCACCTCTTAAAATAGTTACATTTTCTCACGAGACAGGTGGTGCGTCTCAAATCGCGTACTTATAAAATAACCTTATATAATTCATACTATACATGGCTGAGTACATAGTGCATAAGTACATAGTGTATAGGTGCGTCCCAAATGGCGTACTTCTGCACTATTCTATGACGTTTAGTAGTATAAATGGTGCGAGTAGTGCGTTCACACTGAAAATTCCAGAAAGAAAAAGTGCACTTTAAATACCTGGATGATGTACTTAAATAACCGAAAAAATGAAGTGTGGAATGTTGGACACTTCATGCACTCAACGGTCGCAGCTTTAATTACGTACCGAAGGGGGCGGGGCTATCAGACTCCGATTATGAATGACAAAATAACCTTATATAATTATTGAGTTGAGTACATAGTGCATAAGTACATAGTGTATAGTGCGTCATTTGGGACGCAGCTAGGGTTAGGGATTTTAATTACTTGTGAATGTCACGTTTTATGCATCTGTCACCTAGAGATAATTGGATTCTAATTTGAATAAACAGCATTTGTTAAAGAACAAAAAGGTGAAATGGCAACTTGCTCACGGTCACACACTCCTGAGACCACAGAAAGACGACATATTCACATAACATAAAAAACAAGCAAACTTTAATTATAACCTTAATCTTTCAAATGAACAAGCACCCCTCCCCCAAACACTCCGATAAACAAATTCAATTTTATTTACAGCATAGATGATTCAGATATACAGTATTTATGAATGAACAAATCACACTGGTTACTAAGCAACAACTGGTTGTATTCAGTACTTTGAACTACTCTTCAAATGCACTCCATATTGATATCTGGTTATGAAATGCTACCAAACTCCACTACAACAGCCATTGAATTTCATCTGGCTCAGGCAGTGGAGCCGTTCTAAAGGCGCGGTCACATTAGCGAATTTTCGCGGGCAAAAAAGATACAGTGTCGGCTGTCAATGGTCAACTTCAGAGTCACTTTCAAACCACAGCAAAACTGTGTGACCCACTTGAAACAGGTGCGAAATCTGCGTGGGGAAATATCGCCATCATGCAAAAACAAAACCCTGAACAGTAAATTTCGTCTGGCAAAAATAGTTAAAATCCAGTTATTTTAAAAGGAATTTGTGTAATAGGACTTCAGCATGAAGGCAAAAAGTTACACATGCAGATTTCACTCTTGTTCAAGTTTGGTCACTCAAATTCACTGCATTGGCTAACAGATTTTATGAGTAAAAGCAGTCAGTTGTTCATTGTCAATAGTGTAGAAATACCTGACTCCACTTTCAAGCCAAACAGCTTTCTGTTGGTCAACACGGCAAGACTACGCAAGCGAAATCGGTAACACTTTACAATAAGGATCATTAGTTAACAATTTGGTCGGACTGCGCCATCTAGAGTTTCATGCCAGAACTCTGTATTTAATGAACTGTGAATTAACATGAACTAACATTGAACGACTGTATTTTCATTAACTAACATTAACAAAGATTAATAAATACTGTAATAAATGTATTGTTCATTGTTTTTTCATGTTAGTTAATACAGTAACTAATGGAACCTTATTGTAAAGTGTTACCGCAAAACCTGTGTGGGAACTTTTTTGCCCTTACACAAAACTCACTATCACGCAGATTCCTATTGAAAAGGCTGGATTTCGCTCAGTAAAATTTTGCCAAGCAATGATAATTGTGATCGCCCTTCTTAACACCATGTAACATTTTTTAATGGGACCATACAAAGCAAAGCATCGCCCTGCAAATTTAAGGGAACAGTTTCAAACCCACTAATATCGGTACCAAAAGGAATATTCCAGGTCAAAGACGTTGAGCTCAATGGGCAACATCAGTGACATGCTGTTAATTAATCATAACAAATAATGTAGAAAAAACCAACACTTGCCCCACAGACTTACACTGTAAAGGTGCGGTCACATTCAGGAAGTCGAAAATGGACAGTTTTTGGCCCGCAAAATTTTGTGAGCAAACAACTGTCAATTTTCCATTGTCAATAGTGTAGCCATCATGCAAAAGTCACACAAAAGTCACTTTCAAACCAAGCAGTCCTCTGTTGGTCATCATGGCAATTTCATGTGACTAATTTGAACATGAGCAAAATCTGCTTGGGGAAACTTTTCGCCCTTGCTAAAAACTCCCAATCGCACAAATTCCTATTGAAATTAAGGTAAATGTGCACTTTAAAACATAAAATAGAAAAAAAAAAAATACTGTGGGGGGGTGGTCAAACTACACTTTTCGTACCATTGACTTCCATTAAAGAAGATGTGGTCACATTAGCAAGTAGAAAGCACAGCTTATACAGAAAACACTTTTTAACCAATCAGCTTTCGGCTTGTCAATGTGGCAAATCCACATAACCAATTGGAACCAGTTGCGAAATCTGCCTGGAGAAATATTTCGCTCTCATGAAATTAACGATTTCGTGGATTCCTATTAAACTGACTTTTAAACTATTAAACACAACTTAAGCATGCCAATGCGGGAGACAGAAAACGTAAGCTCATGTGAATTTCGCGGCGTTCAGAGTTCAAGTTTGATTGTGACCTCTTAGCTGAATTAAAAGAAAGAACAAACTACTTTAAATCTGCATTGTAGCAAAAGTGGAATAGATTGCATATTTTTGCATTGTAGATATATTTTGAATTACGTTTTTTGCAGATTGTGCAGAGTGATATCATATTACGGATGATACAATATCCATAGAAATTTTGCTTGCTCCAAGTTTAGTGACCACAGCTTATATTGCAACATCTATTTACCCTGGAATATTCCTTTGAGTCTAAATTTTGTTGGATAAAAATAGTTTAAATAAGTTAGACACAACATTTGGTAAAAGTGATCACAGTGGAGCAAAAAAAAAAAAAAGAAAGGAGGAAGGAAATGTAACAGTATAAGTGCATTTTAAGAGCTCAGATGATTATGAGAGCATGAGGCAGCCTCTTGAATGATGTAGAACAATCATGTGGTTAGTTAGTTAAGGCTGTGCTTGAACTAGAAGAGATGTGGCGATCACCCACCCCACATTTACGACTAACAGCATGTTCTTGTCCACAGCTAAGGTGGCAAGAAGACTCCTTACCGCTGAAACGGTGTCGGACTAGTCTCAGTTGTTCTTTAGTAAGGAATGATCAATCCTCAAAACAATATTCTCTCATTTAATATAATTAAATTATTATAGATTTTACAATTCTATAGGTACAGTATATAAACAGTCAAAAAAAGTGCACTTGCAGAGGGAAAAAAACAAACACATCACATAGACAGTATTTAAAACAGATCAAAACAGGTCTGTCTGTGGTGCATAATGATGACGTCACTGAGGGAACGGGGCACTGCGCCACTCATCATCTCTAGATCTCCCTGTCGTGGGTAACCAGGGCAAACAAAGAACAAATCAACCCAAAATATGTGCGACTAAACACCACAGCTACAGTGTACGATGAATCATGTTGCAGTCTGATGGGTCTGAGCTGGTTGCTGCACGGAAATATTCTTCCATTCTAACAATATAACTTGTGGTGTTCACTTTTTACGTGACTTCAACTCAATAACATCAGGGTTGAATCTCAAAAAAAGAAATGTCTGGGTGCAGTTTCACCCCCCAAAAAAAATCACGAAATTTTTTATGCATTGTGACATTTTTTATCTGAAAATTACTACTATAATCTATTAATAAAATATTTTAAAATCAGCATAATTTTATAATTTTTTTTGACATTCTAGTAATGAAAATTTGGGAGGAAATATGCTTGTCAAAGTCAAAATTTCCAAAATCTTAATTGTCCTAAAGTAACCTTTATTTTCTTTAGGAAACATGTTATTTATAATTTAATTATTTTAAATTCAGGGTGAAATATAACTTTAACATGTTCTTGAGTTTTTGGGAGATTCACCCATTCAGACTCCAAAAGTTTCAATTTAATCTATTATTTTTGTACGTACATTTTTTTTTTTGGCATTTCGTGAAATACATTTTTAAACCACCAATCTCTAAACAAATGTATTTTATATTTCTATACGTGTCGGCCAAACAAATGCGAAATGTAAATAAGAACAAAACTGACAAGATTTGTTGTCCTTAATTTCAATAGGAAGGTTGGTGGTCTGTGCAGAAAGACGGGTGAGGTTAAGTTAAAGGATAACCTCTAACCCAAGCCAGACTGAGATGGCGGAAAACATCTGATATGCGCCAGATAGCGCCGACCGAATGACAAGATCTGAACAGATGTTTCTTTCTCCCCTTCAGCTCCTTTGTGCTTTCAGAAGCTCTTTAAATGCATGACCAATGCAAAAGGGTAAATATCTGAGTGTATAAGGGGTTTAAGAGCTGTAATTTGGCTTTCTGGTCATATTTTGTTGAAATAAAATCAAGGGGACGTTCAGTTTAACACCAACAAAGTTCTGATATGTCACAATGTATAAAATGCTTCAACAATATCTAGTTTAAGCAGTTTTTCATCTACTGCTGTCGTTGAATGGTTTATCCCAGTCTAGTGAAGTCTAGATGATGGCTGGTTACTTTAAAAGAAAGAACTGTGTGTGTAAGAATCACAGGAGAAGTTAAAAACACGCACAGTCTCTCAGTCGGGATGTGAATCACCTCTACTGCCCGTGCCCCTCGCTAGGGGTCTCCCAGCCCAGCGCAAAGCAGTCAGGGAGATCTGTCCTAGGTGAACAGCTTTCTGAGGTCAGAGGTCAAAGGTTGCAGATGGACTTCATAAGAAATTATCCAGATGTGTCTGGGTGTGGAAGGGTCACATTTGGGAGAGGGGTAAGGGGCGTTCATACCCAGAGACACCCGGAGCTGAAAGAAAAAGAGAAAGAACATTTAAAAACGGTATTATTATTCATTCCAACAAAATCTTAAGCTCTATCTGTGAGGAACAGACAATTATCTTCAATCATTTTAAATATATAAATATCATATGATCATATACTATCATTAAAAAGTTTGGGGTCAGTACGATTTAAAAAAACACAAAAAAAAAATCAACAATTAACAGTAATGACATTTAACACACTACAATATATATATATATATATATAGAAGAAAAAAAAATCTTATTTTTTTCAAAATAAATGCTGTTATTTTTAACTTTCCATTTATCAAAATCCTAAAAAAATGCATGCTCTGCTGAAAACAATGCTGCTTGATATTTTTATGGAAACATTGTTTCTTAAGTGTCAAATGAGCATATTACAAGGAGCTGCGTTCACGCCAGACTGCAGTAATGGTTGCTGAAAATTAATCTTTGCCATCACAGAAATTAATTTTTAAATATATTCAAATAGTAAACAGATATTTTAAATCGTAAAAATATTCCACAATATTACTGTTTTTACTGTATTTGTGATCACATAAATGTAGCCTTGGTAAGCATAATAGACTTATTTATAATATAATAATCATTTGAACTGTAATGTGGATGAACACATATAATGGTTAAATCTTGTAATTATACATTGATAACAGTATGTATTTTAACATTTATCCTGGTGTAATGTATTGCGCCATAGACTTTCAAGTTACACTTTATTTTGATTGTCCCCTTTAGAAATTATGTTGACTATAAGTAATGCAACTACATATGTCAACTAACTCTAATTAGAGTAGACTGTTAGGATAGAGTTAGAGTTAGTTGAATAAGTTGGAATGCTTGCAAAGTTACGTAGAGTCAGCAGAACGTCTAATGTCTGATGGAAACATCAGAATAAAGTGCACTATTTATTGTACATACTGTGACTTTTTTTTTTATGTCAGAGGATGTCAATTGTTTTTTTGCAGTAATCCCAGAATGTTCCTTTTAATCTTTCATAGAAAGTAACCCTGATATAACTAGGGTTGGGTATCATTTGGTTTTTTTTCGATACCGGTGCCAAATCGATACTTTTAAAACGGTTCCGGTGCCTAAACGGTGCCTGAACCAATACTTATTAAAAAAATAAATAAAATAAAATTCCCCCCAAAAATGATGGATTGGCCATTAGGCATTATAAACACATGATGTCCGTTTCATTCATACTGGACGCCAGAGGGCGCCCTCACACAGAAAATCCACATATCCAGTCACAGAAGTAGAGAACTCATGACCCACCAGGAAATCCCTTATATGGACAAAGGCATAGCTATTATATCGGTAACTGAGTAAACAGAACATATAAACGTTTTGAATGATAAAACAAAGACAATAAACACTCGACTGCGACAATATAGTTTATCTGTGTTATTTAAGCCATCTCTGGTATTTTCATAATAATTAAGTATATTTATAATAGGGTGACCATATTTTAGTTTTCCAAAAAAAGGACAGTAGGTGGCGGGGTTCGTGGGCAGGGCTTCACCTAACAGTATACGTAGCAAGGTTTTTTTTTGTTTGTTTGCTTATTTTGTTTTTATAATAAATAAAAAGAAAACAAGTAGAGAGAATAGAAAAAGAATAGGGAATGCTAGTGTTAGAGGGTCATTTATAAATAAAAATAAAACAATTCAATAGAACAGAAAACGAACAGATCAAGTGTAATTACTGCATTCACGCACTCCTCGGATGCTCTCATTTCACGAGTTGTGCTTTTAAGTCGGAATGTGAAAATAACATGGACACTCTCGTTACTACAAAGATGTGTTGGGTTTGTATTATTAGAGCTTTCCGACTTGAGTTCACGTGCATTTTCTCAGACGGGAAATTATTTTTCACATGCGGTGCCAGTGATGATGCTTCTTACGTCCGTTTCGGAGAACCAGAGGACAAATATTTAAATCGATCGCTCAGGCATGGCACCGAAATCTGTGTTCAGATTCGGTTCTAGTACATAACGGTTACATAGGTACCGGTGCCATATTGTGCCAACCCTAGATATAACCCAGTCATATGAAAGTGTTAAACTGACCTGAGGGGGGAGGTTGTGTGTGTGTATGGTCTGATGTCAGGTAGCGGTCAGGGTGTCCGGGCCCCTAACAGTTACACTGCTGCCTGGCCTGTGCAGCAGAGCCCCGGGGCTGTCTGAGCTGCCGCAGGGATGCATCGCCGTACTGGATCCCAGAACCCATCCGCTCCGGATCCAACTCACCTGTATGAGCACATAGAGAACACACAGCTCAACTCTATAAAGCCAACTGTATCATATTTGATAAACACATTTCTAAGGTTTTTAAATTATAAACATGATCAAAATAATATAATAATATTTCAAGATGAACACTTACTGGACTGAAGCAGCTTAGGTTTACTTGCGTATCATATTTTAGAAAAATTATATTAAACTGTGAATATCAAATATGATGCATCAGGCTATTGAAGAACATTTTCTTAATCTCTCAATCATCATTGTATTGCATTACCCCCACAATAAAAACTACTTTACACTAGAGTTGATCATAAAACTAAGCATTTAAACATCATCTTACTAAGACATCACTGGCAGATTGATGAAGAGTGACAATTTATATTTATACGCATTTTATTTATATAGTCTGTTATTTAGTTATACAGACTTCACTGATTTACATTATGAGATCTTTTGGCGATATATTCTCCTATATGAGCCATAAAAACCAGATGTATCAAATATGATACTCAACAAAAACATAAGCAAGCATTTTTGTTCTCAAGGTTAAACTATTCTGTTTCAAAAATGTGACATTTCTTACTATTATTTCATATGTCAGACTTTACAGTGTTAAACTTTATTTCCTTCACTATGATGGCTGGGTTGAAGCTTAACAAAAGCATTTAGGCTACATTTGCCAAGTAGTAGTAAACTAATACCATAATGTCTTGGCAGTGCAGTTTTCACTTACCCGACTCAATCTTACTGAGGATGGTACGAGCACATTTGAGAAAGGCTTCCTCTACGTTCTCCCCGGTTAAAGCACTCGTCTCCAAAAACATCAGCTCTGAGTGGAGGACAGAGTCAGGCTAACACATCAAAATCAACCATCTGATAATGCTCCAAACGCTTTTGTGTTGTATCAGTCCATATGGACACCTGTTATCAGGCTCGCTAAGTGTCAGTTACACGAGGGTGCTTTAGTGTGAAGAGCATCATCAGCAAGAACCAACTTATGGTCTTTAACCATGTCTACAGCACTCCTGTGATCAACACAGAAGAGCTCGTAAATGAGCCGCTCATAAAAACCCAACAGAGAGGAAGAGAAGCGCATTCTCTGCAGCGGCACACATCTGTTTGGACACTTATGATTTATGAATACAAACAGATCTCTCTAGATATATGACAAACAGGTGCCAGAAGCAAGAGAAAATTGATGTTGTGTCACACTGTTAGGTAGAAACAGGCAAAGAAAAAAAAAAAAAAAGTCATTTTGGACTATAGCTACAAATGTGTTATGCCTTAAGAGCAGCTCTAACCGTTCTCCTGGGCAAAGCGAGACGCCTCTAGGAAGGTGACCTCACGGTCCGCATCCAGATCCTTCTTATTCCCGCACAGGATGATGACGATGTTGGGGCTGGCCAGTGTCCGAGCATCTGTCAGCCAGTTAGTCAGAGCATTGTAGGTCTCCCGACTAGAGGACAGAGATAAAGACAAAGTCAAATAAATTTGAATATTGCTTTCTTTTTCATAATACACAGTTTCAAAGCAGCTTTATGGAAAATCATGATGTTAATTCTTATATCATCTTAATATCTTCATGCCTTATAGTTGCATTTAGCAGATTAGAGCCAGGCGATAATATAGTTCACATTTTTCAACAATACGATCAGAGATATGCTACATAGTATATATTGCCCAATGCAATTATACTGCATGTATGCAGAAAAAGCTGTACATATATACACATACGACTTTATATAAACAGCTGTGCAATAATACATAATACATATTTTACGATAAAATAAAGTAAAAATAATGCTGTACGTGAATATACTGTATGTGTACGGATAAATCTTAACTTTGATTTTTACTTTACATTTATGTATAAGGCTTGCAACTTCGTTGAAACAATATCTGGACTCCATAACTGCTCTACTATTCTCGATCTCTACAGATTCTCGATCTCGAACAAGCAAATCACCAAACGGCATTCTGGGTTGAGCGAGCTGCGCTGAGCGTATTGAGCGAGCGGAGCGGAATCTTCAGAAAGGCGCTCTGCGCTCTTAAGGAAATATTACCTCTCCGCTCCCCGCTCCGCTCCGCTCACATGCTCTGGTTTGGAACGACATGGGGGTAAGTGATTAATGACAAAATTTTCATTTTGGGGTGGAGTAACCCTTTAAACACTGGTTTTCTGTGATGAGAACTTTCTTTTTTTTGGAGGATTTAAGGAGCTACATTACAGTTGTACAAGTTCCAGCTCGTTTTATTTTCTTTTTGTACAGAAAACATGTTCGTAAAGAAAATGTCGGAAAATCGAGCAAAATATTTTTTTTTAAATTTGGTAACATTTTTTCTTTTTGTAAATATTTTTTTGTAAATGAAAAGTAAACGGTGAAAAGTGGGTGATTTAAATCAAGTTTACAGTGGATTGTGGAGGGCTTCTCTACATGTATCCAAATGGATTTCAAATCTATTGTTATTTGCTATTAACAGGCAGTAAACTATAGTGAAAACCTTTGGCAAGATTTTAGAAAGGAAGCATTACCTATAATCAGTGTTGGGCAAGTTACTTCCAAAATGTAATACATTATATATTACTAGTTACTGTCTTTTGAAAGTAATTAGTTACATTACAATATTACTGTTTCTGAATTGTAATTATTTGCGATGTATTTGAATGCTAAACTATTATTTATTATGTAAACCAAGCTTACTTAACGCGCTTAAAAAACATCCTCGTCACATGAGCAAATGTGTGTTTGGCCCGAGCTCAGGCTGAACGACACGGATTGTACGCAGTATGCACTATTTAAATTAACCAGTGTATTTATACGTTTGATTGACTATTTTATTCTGATAATGAACAGGCTGCAACGTTTGCAATGTTGTAGGCCAGTGGTTCCCAAACTTTTTGCAGCGTGCACCCCTTTCTAGTGTTTGACACATGTCAAGCACCCCCACCACCGTTCTCCGGTTAAACACCACATTTTTTACTGCAATACAAGTATAATTACAAGTATTCACTGTATACAGGGCTTGACATTAACTCTTTTGCTCACCAGCATATGCCCTAAGTCACTTAATATTAACTACTCGTTTGAAGTCTTGTTTAAAATCAATGTCGAATTTACAATCGTACTGATTTTCGGGGAAAACTGCACTCTCTTAGTTGTGTCATGTTAATTAATTAGGCTAGGCTTTATGTAATAAATATAAAAACTACATTTTTTTTGACCGTAGTATGTTTCCTCTGTGTGCAGTTGTGTTCATTTGTTTCGATTTCTCCATGAGATTGTCTCATGTGAGTCTCAACTGCCGAGACCTTGTTACTACTGATTATCCATTATGAATTGCCGTTTACACCAAGTGTAATAAAATCAGAATCATTCTCGCCGAAATTTTGGTGCTTCCCTAATTCGATGTTTTAAAAAGATTAGATTAGTTGTCCGGTCGGGCAAGTAAAATTCTCTTTCACTTGCCCCTTCAAAAAAAGCACACAGATCATCAAAAGCATTCTCTCGCGCACCCCTGCTGGTCGGTCTGTGCACCCCTAGGGGTGCGCGCACCCCAGTTTGGGAACCGCTGCTGTAGGCCTATGTGTGTGCGTGATCGCCGGCGCGATCGAACGGCAGAAACAAACAACAAAAAAATACTCCGTCATTTTTGGTCATACAGATCATTCGAAAATGCAATGCGTTTACTTTTATTTCTGTCATCTCGGTTTCCTTTCCGTGGACTTTCGTTGAGCGCCGCACCACACAAATAGCATATGAACCAAACTCAGCAGCATATCTCTGTCTTTTCCTTTCGTTTTGTTAATCTGTTAATTAGGCTATTCAAGTCAAATATTTCGCATATTCATTAATTTTATATATACACTATGATTTAATAAAAAACGATTTTATTTTTAGTTAAACTTAATTTTTGTTGCTTGTCTGCGCTCGTCCGCCGCCTTTTTCTCTTCTCAGGACCCCGCAGCTCTCTCCGATAGGATCTCAACCATTTAATTCCAGCAACAGGAAATAGACAAACTATTTTTTAATAATCAAACTAAATATTTACAGGAAATAATTTACCCGCGGAATTTTTTCTCTGGTGCTGTTTTGCGGTGTTAGTAAATTCACCACTTAATTTTGAGTTAAAATATGTTGTTGTAACTTGCGTTACTGAGATTGTAACGAGTAATAATATTACCCACATTTTATTAGTAATACGTTATATGCGTTACAGCAAGAAGTAATATACTACTGTAATATTATTATTTTTGTAATGCGTTACTCCCAACACTGCCTATAATACTGTAAAACAATGCCAAAATAGCTATTGATTAACCAATAGCCTGTGTAGTGACATCAGCCGAAAAGGAAAATGTTTTCAGGTTTGCAAGTTACATTTTAATAACAATTATGAACACAAATATTTAATAACCTACACAGATAACCTGTACAGAGTGATACCAGGAAGTTAACCTTTTTTTTTTTTTATCTTACATGTTGATTTTGAGAGAATGGCCAAGTGTTACTAATTTTCTGAGTCAATATTTACCCTGATTTCCACCATTTATTATCAGTCCCAGAGAAACTGCCTTTGTGAGCGAGTAACAGCGAACACTTAACATACTTCACTGTTAATACAGCTTCTCAGAAGCCAATGTCTGTGACGACCTCGGAGTGCTTTGAGAAACGGTGAGACAATACACGATATAATGTCGTCCTTCACGTTTCCTTACTGTGTGTGCGCTCCGTCACGCTTTCAGGGAATCTTGTTTTGTTCGAGTCACTGGTCTCCAGGGCAACCATCAGCCTGTGGCCACAGCAACAGACGAAAGGGAGCGTGGTGAATGTGTTTCAGTGTAAAACAGTGAAAACGGTCTGCAGCTGCAGCAATGACAGTTCAGTGCTGAAGGACGATCCTCATCAAACACACACAATCCATCACTCGGTTCATGTTTCTGTCTCACTGTGCTCACACCCCGTCTAATGGACCGAGGGCATTTTATTACAGCGCTGTCATTCTTTATTACTCCATTGTCTTTGTCTCTATTACCATGACAGCTGCATGGCAACCTGGAGCTCATTCGATTCAACGCCAGTCATTCTCTCTATGTGCCTCTGTTTTAGTTCATTTCCTGCATCTAAAAGATTCATTTTTTTCATTCCACTTCAAACTTTATCTTTGCGGTCGGGTGACCCCACTGCGGCCTTACCTTGTGATGTCATAAACGAGAAGAGCCCCTGCTGCTCCACGGTAGTAACTGCGGGTCACCGACCTGTAAGACACAAGCGGAGAATGACCTCAACCAATCAGTGTCAGCACAGAGCAGCGAGGACGTCCTGACGAGCCAATCACAGGCAAGTACCTAAAGCGCTCCTGCCCAGCCGTGTCCCAGATCTGCAGTTTGACCGTTTTGCCACCAACATTGACAACCCTGGATCCAAACTCAACGCCGATGGTGTGGTTGGAGTCCTGTTTGACTGTAACAGACAATGGTTGGTTAGAAGCAGAGCTGACAAACTGTTTAAAGGGGTCATTTCATTGATGTTTGATGCCAGCAGTGTTGTTTTTGTATTATTTAAACTATGACAGTTTTTATTAAAATTATTAATTAGAATTTATTTTTCTATTTTGAGTTGTCATTTTAATTTTAGTTAATTGTTATGACATTTTGTAATGTGCTTTTCTCATTTTTATTAGTTTTTGTTCTTTTTAAATAGTATTGATTAGATTTAATTTATTTTTATTTCAGCTTTAGTTTTAGTTCAGTTTTACACTGAAACAAATGGTAATATACAAATTACTTGGTTTTATTCAAATCAAAAAACATTATCATCACTAATACAACAAAAAAAATTATATATATATATATGCCAGTTTGCCAGTTCAAGTTAACACTTTTTACAGTTTCGTTCTTATTATTGCCAGTTATTAATTTTTCTTATCATTTCCAGTTATTAATTTTAGTGCTTAGTTTTAGTAGTTAACTTAAACTGTCAGTTTCTCATTTTTTCCACGCATTTTTTTTTTCTTCATTTTTTAAAATTAAAATATTAAAAGTTTATTAAAGTTTTCATATTTATATTTTATTTTAACTTTAAAAAAAAAAAAAGTTTAATAATAATCCTGGATGCCAGTTTTTTGTACCAAAACAATTTATTTCTTCACAACAATCTTCTCTCAGAAAAATTAATTGTTTTCGCATGTGAAAAATGATACAGCACTTCACTGCTCTTACTCATGGGTTGTGGGTTTGCTGTCAGGTCAAATATAGTTTACCCTCCCCCATCCTTTAATATATTCCTGTGCTACATTGCGACAGGTTCACAAAACAATCCATGCTGAAATGAGCTGTTCTCTTAAAATTGGACTGAAAAATTTGTGCTACTGTTTTATCTTTCTCTCTTTTTTATCATGTAAAATTTTATTTGTTTTATGATATGACCCCTGAAGACATGCATATTCAATTTTCATATTATAACATATTCAAAGTTCATTTCTGTCTTGGAAACAACTTAAAGATAGGGTCATTTAAAATCCATTCAATGTCACAGACATAATTAGCAATTACGCCTCTTTCCTTTTTTTTCTCTGTACATTGAGATTGACATTGGATTTTCTAAGCTTACGGACAACATGATTTCCATTCATTGCTTAACATACCTTTACTCATGTTTCAAAAGCATGTAAAGATACTGATTTCACACAGAATTAACATTCAAGGCCCCCCTCTTTCTCTCTGCAGAACGCTCTGAGAATTAAAGGTCATGTTTAATTCAAGTCTTTGTGAGAGTGAGACATTAATATGGGCTTACACTTGTTCTCTATGAACTGATGGAGGAGGCATGATTTCCCAGTCCCCGCGCTGCCAATCACTAGGAACTTAAACAGGAAATCTAAAACCAAGAGGGAGAGAAAAAAAGAAAGAGAATCAATATCGCTGTTGCACTGCACAGAGAACATGTTTAAAGAATGTTTGGATGTTGTTCAGAGCACTTGGCCATCCTGATATCCTTCATTCCATCTCAACTACAGATCTGCGTTCTTATGACAGTCAAATTGAAGAGTGTATTCTTTGAACAATTAAACCCATCTTGAAATGCAATGTTCTTCCAAGAAGAGTTGCCAAGTAACCGACTAAACATGCATTAAACTGCAGATTGCTCATATTTTCTATAGTGTGGTAGGCCTGATTCTGCCAAAGATGAATCCAGCAGAAAGATTTTTTTTTTTTTTTACTTTTTTTCAGAAGTCTCTGAAAAAGGCAGCATTTATTTGATCAAAAATACAGTAAAAACAGTAACATATCATAAAAATATAACTAAAAATGTGAAAGATTATTATCATTTAAAATATGGTAACTGTTATCCATTTTATATATTTTAAAATGTAACTGATTTCTGTGATATAAAGCATCATTACTAGAGGTCTACACAGGTCTAAAAATTCGTACTGCCCGTAAATGTGCTACACTGAACCGACCCGGACCCATCTATTATTTTGAAAGTTGGACCAGGGCCCGTACAGAACCGAGAATAGACTTGTGCCGGTATTCGGTAATGCGATATATCACGGTATTATCCCCGTGCGTGTGCATTAACTCCGCCCACCCTGCTTCTGATGACGTCGCTCGTGGTATTTTTTTTTTCCACCTTATTTCAAATGACCGACTCACACTTTTCTCATCCTAATTTTACAAGTTGAAAGTTACAAAACAACACGCACAGCGCTGACTGACTCTGAAAACGTCCGGGTGTTCTCAGAGTCCGATCGACTCGGGTATTACACACAATGTTAAACAGACCCGGGACCCGAAGTAATAGATTGGGACCCGACCCGGACCCGGCTGACCATTTAAAATATAGCCCCGAACCCGTACGGATCCCGGGTCTGGTCCCGGGTCCTCGGTGTAGACCTCTAATCATTACTCCAGCCTTCAGTGTCACATGATCCTTCAGAAATCATTCTAATATGCTGATTTCCAGCTCAAGAAACATTTCTTATTATTATTGATGTTGAAAAAAGTTGTGCTGCTTTGTATTTTGTGGAAACTGTGATACTTTTTTTTCAGGCTTCTGAATAGAAAGTTCAAAAGGCGTGGCCTAATGGTTAGAAAGTCTGACTTGTAAGCCAAAGGTCGCGCGGGTTCGAACACCATACTTGGTCTCCTTTCCTTTCCTTTCCTTTCCAGAACAGCATTTATTTGAAATAGAAATATTATGTAACAATGTCTTTACTATCTGTTTTGATCAATTTATTGCTCAATTGAAGTATTAATTTCTTAAAAAAAAAAAAAAAAAAAAAAAAAAGTACAAACTTTTGAACACTCTAGAAAAAGAAAAAAAAAACACACATTAGTCGATCTCATTTATGCTATATAATTAGCCTATATGAGATATATTACAATTATATCTGACACTGAAAACAATGCTCTCTAGATACTGGCATCGGCCATTAAACAACCATTAAACTATTGGTTGACCACTTCTCCTCTGCACTAACGCTCTATATCTAATCTCATCATCTCATCCAACATTATGTAATAGACTTTTATAGGCTATTCATCAATGCAATACCATGTCAATAAAATAGTCATCAAAATTGTAAAGAAATGCATGTGAAATGCATCCTTGCTGAAGATACAATGACATGATAGCAGGATGTCATAACAGTGAGGGAGTGTGTTGTAGAAGTTCAGTGGGGTCGGAGTGGGTCTCAACCCAACCCACGCAACAGGCCGCAGCGTGAGACAAGAGCATCCCAAAAGCTCTGTGTTAGAAGAGGACAGAGAACCATTTGCATGTGTGGGTATGACATGCATTCAGCCATAACAGCTGGAACAGAGGAGGGTTTCAGGAGGGATTCAGCAGGGATGCACTGAATGTTCGACAACCGATATTATTCGGCCGAAAATTGCAAAATAAGGCACTTTCGGTGTTCGGCCAAATAAGTGAAAAGACCGAATACATTTTACCGAAAAATTACATTTTTGATTAAGTGATCAAACAGCAGCCAGCGTAAAGTGAGAGGCGCACACACTTTAAATGCAGAAAACATGTCGGCAGTGTGGAAACTTTTTAAAGTGTCCAAGAAAGACACCAAAATGGCCGTTTGCAGACACTGTTCTTCTGAATTGTCTAGAGGGGGTACATCTGCAAAAACGCACAGCACGACAAGTTTAATTTATCATTTAAAATCAACATACCCCGAACAGCACGCAGAGTATGAAAAAGATACGGCGGCAGCAGCAGCGAAAGGGAAATTTCCTGCTCCCAGTCCCAGCACACCCACTCCATCTGTGATCCAGAAGTCACAAACCACATTCAACAACAAATAAAATGAAATAATCTTTAGAGTAATTTTATGAACAAATGTGGAAAATTAAAAACGTAGAAAAAAATTCCAGAGCAGCAACACCCTCAGCACCCCTAGTTCCTGCGGCCATGAAGTAGGCTTATGTCTAGGACAATTATTTTGTGGGTTCATCCACTTTTTTGCACTCTTTTCAATGCACTTTTTTGTAGTAGGTGTACAGAGTATGTTACATTCTTTCAGCAGTCAGTTATGGGCCTAATATAGGCTATTCACGAAGGAGGGCTCAAAGATGGCCAAATAAAAATATTTTTATTTTACTAATTTTAATTTATTTATTTTGTTATATTGTGCTTTGTTGGTGTAATATCTGCTGAAATGTTTAAAAAAAAATGCTCCATGTTAAATAAATATGTTTAAATTGTAGTTTTGTAATCGTTTTATTTTTCTTTGAAAAGCAAGACAAAATAGTAAAAAGCACATTTTGACTATTTAATTTATGCATGGCAAAATAAATGGGAAAAAAAAAAAACAGGCGCAAAATTGTGTTCGGTATATTTGGCCTTCGGCCAAGTGTTTCATTATATTCGGCTTCGGCCAAGAATTTTCATTTCGGTGCATCCGGATTCAGTGTTATAGCAGGAGGAGGATGTATGGAAGGGTATATGGATCATAACAGAACAGCATGTACATTCTCACTGAAAGTGTGCCAGAGCGTTTTGGACGAAAATCAACGGTTTCACAACCTTCTGAGTTGTCTGTTGTCTACACAGGCACAATCATAACAGTGGTGGACATCAATAGTGGTTGATTTTGAATTTTGAACAGTCTACATAGGCAGTAATTCTGCGTGCACAAATAACAATGCATTAAACACACAAATGTCAAGTAAAACAGACTTTTTTAATTATTTATAAATTGTAAATAAAAGTACATTTAAAAATAGCAAATTATTTAAAATGTTTAAAGTTACATTTAATTTTAATAGATTATTTTTAGCACTGAACAGAGTATAACTAATAATTTTAATTCACAAAAGATACATACACTATTTGGGTCTATATGGCTTTTTTTGTTTGTTTGTTTTTAAAGAAATAGATTTTTAGTAAGGATGCATTAAAGGGGTCATATGATGTTGCTAAAAATAACTTTATTTTGTGTATTTGGTGTAATGAAATGTGTTTATGTGGTTTAAGGTTCAAAAAACACATTCTTTTCCACATACTGTACATTATTGTTTCTCCTCTATGCCCCGCCTTGTCGATTTTTACAAAGCTCATCGGTCTGAAAAGCGAGGTGTGCTGTGATTGGCCAGCTATTCAGTGCGTTGTGATTGGCCGAATACCTCAAGCGTGTGACGGAAATGTTACGTCCCTTACCATATTGTGATGCATGTGGCAACCACATGTGACGACCCCGGGGCTGGGCTCCGCTTCGTCCACGGTGAAAGCCGATCCGGCGATCCACAGCACTAAGTTGATGTATTCCCTCAGCGACCAGCACGGATCAGCTCCAGGCATGACGAAGCGGTTATCGTCTTCTTTTGGAAGGCCAAACAAAGTAGTTTCGCTTTCACAACGAAAAACACAGCGCCTTCACGACATGGCGGCGGCGGCGGCAACAACACTACAGCGAGAATAAAAGTTACACCTTCATTCTTTGCGTGAACATTTGGGCGGCAATTCTTCCCACATAGTGACGTAGACATGTGGGGGCGTGTTAGAACGGGCCGTTTTAGGTAGGCGTGGTTGACTTAACTTTTATAAAGAATATCTCTTTGGATTTGAGACTTTAGTCTTTGCAACTTTACAGATCTTTATGCACCAAGAGCTTGTAACACTCCAAAGAGAAAGGAAAAATTGACCCCTTTAATCAAAAGCAACAGTAAAGACACTTATGTCACAAAAGATTTCTATTTAAAATAATTGCTCTCCTTTTGAACTTTCATCAAAGAATCCTGAAAAAAAACAACTGTTTCCAACACTGATAATGAATGTTATTTTATCACCAAATCAGCATAACAGAATGATTTTTGAAGGATCATGTGACACTAAAGACTGGAGAATTGATTGCTGAAAATTCAGCTTTGGCATCATAGAATTAAATTACATTTTAAAAAACATTAAACTAGAAAACATTTTAAATTGTAATATTTAACAATATTACGGTTTTTAAAAGTTAAAAAAAAAAAAAA